GAGCGGGCCTTGTCTATAGATGTAAGGCCCGTGCCTTCTACGAAGCAGCCTCCCTCCAAGAAGCCTTCCCCCTCCTCCTACCCTTTGTGAGCGCCGCGAACTCCCCCGCGTTACATATTCATATAGTTATACACATATATACATCTACATCGGCATGTACATATGCGTTTACATACATATATACATTAATATACATAGATGTTATATATATATATATGTGTAACTGTATATATATATATATATATATATATATATATATACATATATACATATATATATATATATATATATGGTGCGAGGCCTCCGCACGTTCCACGTAGGAGTCCAGCCCATGGGGCGTTTCTTCGCCATCGGGGAAGCGGGTCCGGAGGGGAACGAGTCCCGAGGTGCCGCCGTTACAACGTTTGGGCTCTTTCGGGGCCCTCGGCGGGCCCCGGGACGGTCAGAAAGCGAGTCAGGATGAAGATCTCATCCTGGGGCAAGGCCCCCGGGGTCCAGGACCCGTTTCCCTCAGCACCCGCGTCCCCCATGCGAAGTTTCCAGATTCTTGGCGCTGCGAAGCCCAAGCTTCTGCGGCAACTGATGCGGCAGCCCGACGGGCGGCACACTGATGTCAGTTGCCATCCAGCTCAGCACACCGGGGGCAGCTGGGGCCAGGACCCCACTGGCAGGGCCGATTTCGATTACGAGTGAAAGTGACCCTTCGCTGGAGGGGCCTTCCCAGACATGCGACGTCGTCCCTGGAAGTCCCGACCCTTTCCCTGGGGCCGGTTTTTCGTCCCGAGTCGTTTCTGCTGACGGTCCCGAGGCCCGGCGAGGGCCCCCCAGGGCCGAAAACAGCCACACACACACACATCGCGTCCTGATATTGTTTGCGACGCGATCGTGTGTGGGCTTGGGGGCCCCTCGATCGCTGCAAGCGGCGCGGCAGCAGTGGCTTGCCCGCTCGGGTCTGGCCTCTGCGCGCCCCCGAACGCCGCGCACCAGAGGTCACCCCTGCCTGCAGGGTCGCTCCGACCACTGCCAGGCGTGCCGCGAGACGCGGCAGCCGGGGCAGCTGAGGCCGAGATCCCCACGATCAGCGAGGAGGAGGAGGAGGAGGAGGAGGAGGAGGAGGAGGAGGAGGAGGAGGAGGGAGGAGGGAGGAGGGAGGAGGAGGGAGGAATGAGGAGGGAGGAGGGAGGAGGGAGGAGGAGGAGGAGGAGGAGGAGGAGGATGTCGAGAGCCGAAGGGCCTCAGATATAGAAGCTGGCGGGCAAGGGTGGCCCCAGAGCTCGTTCCAGCTTCGCTCCAGCATCCCCGCAGCAACCTGCTGCAGCCAGCAGCGTGTTCCGGAAGGGAGCTCCAAGTGTTTTTGCCACGACCTGTGCGCCGAAGCTGTCCAGAAGCTCCTTCCCGGAGCTCCCAGAGTTTCTTCGAGGGACCTTGTGGAAGCATCTGTCGCCTCGGTATCCGGAATCCTCACGTGTCACGGCGGTTGGGCGAACGAATGGGGAGGCGATAAATGGGGTGACAGCGAGGGCTGCCGAAAACATGTCCTTTTAGTGCCTCTAAAGGGGCCCTTTAGGGCCTCTAAGAGGGCCTTCTATCGGACGGGGCTAGGACGAGGATAAGTCCGATCCAGAGCGTTCCGGAACGCCCTCAGAGCGTTCGGAACGCTCTGAGAAGGCAGCGGCGCCCGACATCCTCCAGAGCCGCTGGATCTCAGAGATTCTCGATGTATCTTCACCCGAATTTATCCTCGGCCTGGCCTCGGTGTAATTCAGGGCCCGAGCGGGCCCTTTTCCCTCCCCCTATTGCACCGCCCCCCCGTGAATTCGCGCCCAGGGCGGGCGCCTGCTCCCCAGACCCCCGATGTCGTGATTTTTGTCACAGCGTCGACCCCCGAGAGGTCCGGGGACCCCTTCCCCGGGACAGGTTCTGCATCGGGAGTCGTCTTTTGACGGCCCTCCTCCTCCTCCTCTTCCTCCTCCTCCTCCTCCTCCTCCTCCTCCTCCTCCTCCTCCTCCGCCGAGGAAGGCCCCTCGGAGGCCGAAAGCAGCGAGAAGCCTCGCGTCTTGATTCTTGAACCCGTCTGCGAGGAGGTCTGCGTCCCGCCCCCGTCACTCTCTCGACCCCCCCGTGACTTCGCGCTCCGTGCGGGCGCCTGCTCGCCACGCCCAAAAAGGTGCCCCGTCGGGCGCGCTGGCCCGCGGCGGCGCCTGCCGCGCGCGCCGGCTCGAGCCGCGCGCCCTGTGCCGCGCCTGCTCGGGGCTCGTGCCGATTCCTCCGATTCGATCCGATTCGACTTCGATGGCCTGCGATTCCGCTTAGATTCGGCCTTGGATTCCGATTCGGGATCCGATGTCTCAGACAGGGGAGGCCTGCCAGCCTGCCGAGTTCCGCCGATTCGGCTTGTCCCGACTCGGCTGCCGATTTTCGCCGATCCGATTCATTTCGATTGCAGGTCCGACTATTCGATTCGATTTTGGGCTCTCCTGCCTGCTGCGGGAAGGCCCGCGCGGCACGCTCCCCGCAGCGTCGGGGAAACGTGAGACTCAAGTGCGCCAGAGCTCTGGCACTAGTCGAGTCCTTTTAGTGGGCCCTGGACGCCCAGACCACCTCGCGCTGTGAAGAAGTCACGGCGGGAGGTCTTTCGCTATTTTCGGCCTCTAGGGGCCCTTCCCGGGCCTCGGGGCCGTCGAAAAACGACTCGGGATGAGAAGCCGGTCCCGGGGAAAGGGTCGACGTTGTGAGCAAAAATTCGACGTCGGGGGTCTGAGCGAGTGGGCAGTTTTTTGTGACCGGTTCCGTTTTGCTGTTTTTTACGGTTCCGATTTGCAGTTTTTGTCAGCTGGTTCCGTCGCTGTTTGTTTTCCTGTTCTGGCGCTGGTTCCAACTCCAGAGCCGTTCTTGTTGCTCTTTCTGGTCGCCGTTCTTGTGCCACTTCCGTATTCAAGAGACATGTTTGCGGAAACGGTGGAAAAACGGCCTTGCCGATTCCGGGGCCCACGAAGGTCGAGTCAAATTTCAGGACCAGAGGTTTGTGGCCGCGCGATTGGCTCTGAGTGGCGCCACTGGTCTCCAGCTGTCTTCCAGCAGCGAGACGCAGATCTTCAAGATTTTGGCTACCATTCTCAAGGAACGCGCCTCGTGAGTGAGCCATCCTTCCCAGACGCGCGTGCTGTTTCCTAGGAGCGCGGCGCGCGCGTGTACAGCACGCTGCTGATTGCCGCCGCCTGCGCCCTTCATGGGCTCGCCTTCCGGCGCATGGGCATTCCACTCACAGAATTACTCATTAGGGCCCTGGGGGCCCCTGGCCCCAGGACTTTCGAACAGTTACTCAGGATGAGAGGCCGGCCGGTCGTGGGGAAAGGGTCGCGGGGGACGCCGAATTGTAGAAATCAGCACGTCGCATGATTGGGTTGGGGGGACGTAAGACTCGAGTGCGCCGGAGCTCGGGTTCGCCGCTTTTTTTTGTCGAGCGCGTCCTGGGTTTTGACGGGCTAGTTTTCGTGGCATGCCTGCAGCGGAGGTCGCGTCAAATTTTAGATTTGGTCTTGTCATTTTCATGATGTCCCCGTCAGGCCAATCCGAGTCCCCCGAACCCGAGTCTTACGTCTCCCCGACAGATGGTCGGATCGGGGTTTGCGGCGACGCGTGGAAACACGCAAGCAGCGATCAGGCAGGGGCGGGGTCTTAAGTTCGGAGGAGGAACAGGTACCGATACCACTACGTTTCCCTCGTATCCTCCTTTTCGGGCCTACTGGGACTCCCTCGTCGCCACCGCTGGATTCGCTTCGACATCCTGGTCAGAACGCACCCCGGGAGACGTCTGGGGGCGTGAAGGTATCGGTACCTTTTGTGTCCCTTGGAGCGTGGGCATCTCCGTCGGAGCGGTGCAGCCAGGCCACCTCTTCGGCCAGGACCCGATGGGCGGGACAGCACGGGCAAATGCCACGGGCAGCAATGTACTCAGAAGTAAGATGGGAACCATACGGGCGGGGCCTTATGGTGAGGCATCACGAACCCCAGCCACGGACCATCCAGGGTGGTGCCCCATGTGCATTGCCCCGCTGGCCAGCTGCCGTGCAAGGCAGCACGCAGGTGCAACTTCAGGTCGCCAAGACCCCACTCGCTACATGTTGTTTCTCCTCTTCCTCGCTCGCCCTCCCTGTTCTTCCTGCGCTTCTGCTGCTGCTTCTTCTTTTCCTCCTCAATTCCCTCTTCCTCCTCTGCTCCCTCTCCCTTTTCCTTGTCTTCCTCCTCCCGAGGGCCCGGGGCTCGAAAAAGGCCCTTGGAGGCCGAAACCCGCCGTGATGTGATCGGAGGGGGCCAACACCCCCCCCCCGATCACGCCCGCCATCGCGGATATTGCAAAAAACAGGCTCCTGGCCAGACCCTGTGGTCAACCACCACGAACATCAATGTCCACGGCATGGTTGCAGCGCAATGTGGATGCCTTCCGTGCTCCACTTCATGTTTACATGTACGTCCACAGATACCTGTCTGTCGAAACACTCTATCGCGGATGAGTTTTGCCGAGCGGACCATTGGGATGGGGTATGCCGGTGTATAAAATCGTGCATGCGCATGTGCATACATACATGTTTATACATATGTAGATGTACATACTTGATTGTATATTGTGCGTGAACAGTCCTGTGAATTGAGTCTCTTTTCGAACCGAAACAAATGAATTGCAATGTTGTTTGTTGCTGCACCACTCGCGTGTATGCGTGCATGATGTGTGCACCCCCATCGCATCCGCCACGACCTCACCTGTGCTCACTTGGATGTGCGACGATTCCGGGTGTCGCAAGCAAGTGCGATTTGCGGGTGAGTGTGAATGACGTGTATCTGTATATGTACATATTGATATGCACAGTGCGACCTGTAGCGACGTCATCAACGGCCCGCTTGGTTATGTGGACATATGTTCTTTGTTTTTGCGTGGCATGGTTCGGCTTATGCCATCATGATACGGTGCTGTCGTCATCGCGGGAAAACGGGTATGTGAGGCAGACATTGGCATCGCCATGGGCATCGCTGGGACCGAGGTGGCCAAAGAGGCGTGCAGTAGGAGTGCGAGCTGACGAATATGGATGGAGAAGTGTGTAGATGATGAGTCAGAGGATGCGGTTCATGAGCAGGACGACCGGACATGCAGTTGAATGATAGGGCGAAGGCCACGGACAGGGAAGACAGAGTGCCGTGTTCGGGCCTTGGTCGTTCTTGTTCCAATGGGCTCGTACCACAGCCTCCCCACCAAACTCGGAGGTTGATAGACCTCCTACCCTGTGACGTCGATTAGCGAATTGGCAGTTGTCGGTTCGCGAGAGGGCGTCGCGGCCGTCATTTTTGCGGGTCCAGGTCCGTCGGTTTCGGTCCCAGGCCGTCTTGAACAAAGGGAGGTTTACTACAGGGAGGTTTGCCTTTCGCCGACAAACACTTCTCGCCCAGAAGCGCAAGGGGCGCGATGCGGAGGAGCACGAGGATGGCCGAGGTTGTTGCATCCGTGCTCCTTCGGAGGCGGCGCCTGCGTTGCTCGCGCTCCCCCCCCTCCACCTCGCATGCTCTCGTCCTTCCCGTCCTCTTTCCCCTGACCGGCCGATGGCAGGGCTCGCTTCGATTCCTCCGATTCGATACGATTCGATTTCGATGGCTGCTGATTCCGATTCGATTCGACTTCGGATGTTGAGTTCTAATTCCTTATTGGAGGCATACTAGCCTGCCGATGTCCGCCGATTCGACTTTTCCCGACTCGGCTGCCGATTTCCTCCGATCCGATTCATGTTCATCGCCGATCCGACTTATCGATTCGATTTTGGGCTCTCTTGCCGATGGCGGTCGCACGCAGTTTCGACAGATCTTGTGGAAGTGGTGCTGCAGAGTCTGCGGAGCTGGGCCCAAGGCCTCAGACATGGTCCTTGCCGACGACAACTTCTCCAGCATAGTTGCCGCCGTCGAGGCGCGAGGAGGAATGTGAGGAGGAGCGTGAGGCCCAGAGGCAAAAGGGGAGAGCAAGCGGGCCTGACAGGGCGGAAAAGAAGACAGTCGGGTGGAACATGGTCGTTTCGTTCCGATCGATCCAGGTCGATGTCGATTCCGGTCGGCTCGATTCGATTCGATTTCGACATTCCGACAATCCGATGCTCGCCGATGTTTGCATGGCGCTGTTGTGCATCTTGGCGCGGACGATTCGATTCGACGCCGACTCCGTGCCGGTGCAGCCTGATACGATGCATGGCCCGCTCCGAGCTAGCTTCCCGAGTCGACGTTGACCGCTCCCGCGGGTTGTCGCACGGGTTCGGTCGAGCATCTTCGACGTTCGGGGATGCCCGAGACTCGAGTGTGCGCGGATCCGGGTGGCCGTCGCTTTTTGACGGTCCTGGCCTGAGTTTGGCAGTCCAGTCCTTGTGTTCATTTTAACACCCTTTCGATGTCGTTTGATGTGTCTTGTGTTCATTTTTAACACCCTCTCGATGTCATTTTTACAACTCAATTCCCGACCTGCCGTTTGGTGTGGCAGAATCTCGAGATGTGAAAAGGGAGGGGTAGGATACTGATAAGGGCCAGCCGCATACGAGGCGCACCATAAAAGGATGCTGGGGGAAGATCGCGGGAGACTCTGGCAGCTCGTCCTGGCTCGGATGTGTGTCTCGTCATCGCGTGGTGCTGGCTGCGAATGGCAGCCGGGGCAAGGTGCCCGCAAATTCTGGACATGCGACGAAGGGGGCATGCAAGCATATCGGTCCACATTGAAGCAGAGGGACCAAAGTTCGTGAGGGCGCAGTGGTCGAGATGCGCGTCAGTAATTTCTGTGGCGTTGCCCCACGCGAGAACGGAATACAGTTTTCAGCCTGCCATTTAGGCACAGCGGGAAGGTGTCTCACAACCTGAGATAATCCAACCGTGGTACCTAGTCAGTATGGATCAGCCTGTACGGATTGTGTGTGTCCACCCTCGACACAGGGTCCATACCCATTCCGATTCGATATCGATTTTGGCCTGCTCGATCCGATTCTATTCTGGCGCTCCGACCATCCGCTGCGGCCCGATATTTGCATGGCGTCATTGCACATCTTGGCGCGACCAGTGCGATTCGATTCGGGCCCCGTGCCGATGCAGTCCGATTCGATGCATGTTCTGATCCGATCTGGATTCGTGATTCGATGGTGGCTGTTCTAGCAAGTATTCGATGGCTTGCCTCAGATATATATATATATATATATATATATATATATATATACCTTGCAACGCTTTCTTATACCGCAGACATGAGACGCGGCGCGCCGCAGTCGCCCACGGTTGGCGTTGAAAACGGATGCCCCATGTGCCCCTTTTTCTTCTCCTCAAGGTGGGTCTCTGGGAATTCCCGCGCCCCTCTCGTACAAGCCCCCGCAGCGTTCATGATTTCTTTACCCGAGTCGTGGCCTCGGAAGCGAGGATGTATTCGTACGTGCTTTCAGGCACCCAGGAGCTGAGGGGGGACGGGCGCGCACCGCGCTTGGCTCCGAGTGTGGCCCCGCGCCTTCTTTTGTAGGAAGCTGGCCTCCCGCCCTCTTGGGAAGATGCGCAGTTCTGTGTTCCGAGAGCTGGTGGGCAGAACATCGCGACCGTCGAGCTTCTGAGCTCCTCGGGAGAAGCCGAGATCGCGAATGGCCCCGCTGTCGTGGAGAGGATGGAGCTGCTCACGTGTTGGAGTGACCCTCGCAGCCTGATGGCCCCTGCATGGAGGGGCGGGCGGAGCATCCCTCTGAAGGCATCCCTTCGGTACCAGGAGCAGGGGTTGCTACTCGAAGAAGAAAGATCAGCATAAGCACAAACTTTCGACGGTCCGCGCGGATTTCTTGGATCCGCGTTGGGCCCCTCCAGCAGCGCCTCCCGCGCCGCCCCTGGCGCTCTGCGCGCCAGGGTAGGGGCTGTAGCCCAGAATCGAGAAATCCGCGCGGACCTCCAAACGTGTATGCTTATGCAGTGTTTCCTTCCTCTAGCTACGCAACCCCGCCAACGCATCAGCTGGGCGAGATAATCGCGGTATATGCACAAGGTTCGCACCTTGTCGACGAGGACCGCCCGTATGTTCGCGGGTCGTGCTCGATGCATGCATGTGGGAGAGACGTATGGCTTGCATCTCCGTGTGCACTCAGGCCCCAGTCGAGCTGGCCCAAGCCTACCCTAGCAGGCCCCCCCCTGCGGCCGCTTCGGTGCCGCAGTTCTTGTCTTACCGTGCGGGCGGATCCCATGAAGGAGGCTGCGCCCGTCGTTGCCGTCGGAGAGCAGCGGCCGAAGAGCTACGGCTCCCTGGCCACGGAGGACCGTCTTCAAATCCTGGAGTACCGCGCGCACTTACGCAGCGGCTTGGATCGGAAGCGTTCTGCGCAGATGCTTTTCGTCGGCACGGTTGCGGGGTTCTTGGGCTTTGTCTTCGCCTTCCTGATCGGCGTCATCAAGGCGTGCGACAAGGACAAATACGACCTCAACGGCAAGAAGTTCGCCTCGGGTATGAGCTACTTTCCATCTACCGTGAGCGAGATGGTGCACGATCCCTCCGATCCTGGTGGAAAGTGTTTCTTCTGTTTTGAACTCACGGGTGCCATCATCCTTTTCATGTCCTCGTACCCCACGATGCTCAGGAACGTCTACCTTGGGGATGATGTCGAGGTCCCCTACATAAAGGTCTCATGGACAACCTTCCGCCAGTTCGTGCCCGCTCCTGGGATGATGTTGCTCGCGATCATCACTACCAAGCCTGCTGCGCAAGCGCATTACCTGGATCAATTTTGCATCCAGTTGCACATGATAGGCGCGCTGATGTTATTCGTCGGTTACTTTGTGGTGGAAGCTTACACGGTGGGTTGGGGGCCTTTCAAAGAGCCAGGTTGCAAGGCCCTTGCCGAGGCAGAGGGGCAGACAAACGAGTTGAGTCTCCGCAAGTGGTGTCTCCATGGGGTCTTTTTTGGGTGGATCACGTTCTGTCTGCTGCAAGCGCTCGTCAGGATCCCAGTGCCGTTCGCCCCCGCAAATCACTTTGACATTTGGGGTACACTGTACAAAGACACAGGCAAGAAATGGTGGATCAACTATGGAGTCCAGCTCATCGATAGCGCGCACTTTGATGTGAAGGTCGTGAAAGTAGTGTCATATCTCAGCGAGGTATTCTGCGGTGTCTGCATGCTTTCCAGCCATTGGTTGGTCTGGTACTATTGCGAGGAGAGGAACTACGACCTCGCTGAAGAGCTGCCGAGCCTCCAGAAGCAGCACACCGAATTCAGCCCCGAGCTGCAAAGCTCTTTGAGCCCAGGTGACGTCTGATGCGTGGTTACACTGGCCAGCTGTGGAAACGACTGGCCATGAGACCCGTGCAGCGTTCTGCGCCCCAGAAAAAACAGTGATGCTTGCGAGCGGACCCCACACAGTCACAGAAGTGTCCTCGGATAGCGGCGGCGCGGGCCTTGTGGGCAACCGCCGGGGTGAGCCCAGCGAGGAGGTGCGAGGACCGTTTGGGCCTCAAGCTGGAACCTGGTGAGCAGGTGCAGCACGGCCTGGGACCCGATCAGAGACCAAGCAGGGCCGCCCGAGATCCGATTCGATGCGGTTCGCTTCGCCGGCTGTGCCCGCGATTTCAATTCGATGCGTTCCGGCTCTGTTCACCAGCACGGGCTATAGTGCCAGCCGGAAGCGGGGCGCGGCGATCCGATGCCGATCCGCTTCGGGCCGACTCGCTGGCGACCCGATCCGCTCTCGGTCCGATCCGGCTTCGTGATCCGATCCAGCGCAGACCTGCCATGTGAGTGACAGAGAGAGAGCGAGGTGCGAGTGATGACCGATGACGGGACGACGTGCTGGTGGGGCGCGGCCCCCTGGGGAGGGGTTCCAGGGGAGGGGCGGAGCGCGACCGCGCCGGCGTGGCGCGCGCCCCCGCTCCAAGAGGGCCCAAGAGGCGCCCAAGGCGGCCTAACACACCCCCAGCACAGCCCAAGGGAGGTCCAAGACGGCCCTTGGGACGGACCAAGAGCGCTCCAAGAGGTCCACGGCCGCCCAAGAGCGTTCCGAGAGGGCCTGCGACAACCTCAAGACGGTGACGCCCTCGAGAGGATCTCCCGAGGGGGTTCGCCAGGAGGCCAAGAACATTGATTGCCCTTGGAGTTGATGTTGTTTTGGGGGTGCTCCCCTTCTCGAGCCCGGATGTGTCGCAGACGGTGCTCGGGGCCTCCGAGACTGGCCCAGGGCGGCCCAGGAGGCTCCCTCCGAGTCCCAAGACGGCACGCGAGGGCCCCGGGGCAGCCACCGAGAGCCGCAAGACGGCTGAAGGGGGGCCCAAGAGGGCAAGAGGGCCCCAAGAGGCTTCAAGAGAGTCCCAAGGGTACCTGGGAAGGCCCCCAAGAGGGCCGAAGAGAGCCTCAAGAGGGCCCCAAGACGGGCCAAGCCGCCCGAAACGGCCCAAGAGGTCCCCAGAACGGCCCAGGAGAGCCCCAAGACAACCAGAAGAGCTCCCCGAGGACCCTCCCTTGGACGGCCCAATGACGGATGCAGCTTTGGCGCCTAGGTTCTTAAGAATACCAGAAGACCGCAAAGCTCTTACCACACGAGTCGGTGACGTAAACATTTTTGAACACGAAGGGTCCCAACAGCGAGCAGTGAGCCATCAAGTTTTCAACGCGCAGGCTTCCAATACAAGAGCGAACGGTGACGTCAACAGCTCTGAATTCCAAGGCTCCCAAGAGCGAACGGTGCCGTGAAGAGTTCTCATCATCAAGGCTCTAAAGAGCGATCGATGACGTGACCAGCTCGCAACGCCAGAGCTCCCAAGAGCGAACGGCTACCTATACAACTCTTCACACCAAGGCTCCCGAGAGCCGTCGGTGGCGTGAAGAGCTCCTGACGCCAAGGCCCCCACGAGCGAACGTTCCACGGGCCTGCTCGCGCGAGTTCCCGAAGCGCCCTTTTCCGCTCCCGCGGGCCCAGGCCCAACCCGGGCCGGGCACCTCTCGGGGACGGCACGTTGCCATCGCGGCCGGCGCCCTTTTCTCTGGCGACCGCAGACATGGATCCGGGGGTCGTGGACGAGCGACGGGCCCCGTCTCCATGGGACGTCGCGGATTCCCGCCGCCGAGCGAGGCGGCACCGGCCGCATGGGGAGGGCACCTCCCCCGATCCATGGAATTGGCGACCGCGCGCCAAGGCCATGGGACGCTGATCCGTGCCTGCGCGCCCCCGCGCTGGGGCCTCTCGCCTCCGGCATACCTCCTGGCCTTCCCGGCCGGGGCGGGCGGAGGGCCAGCAGAGGGCGGCCCACCCGAGGCGGCGCCTGTCCGCCAGCGGAAGGCTGGGGAAGGCCGGGGGGAGGCAGTGTGAGCACACCGCCGGACCGAGGGATAAGGTCGAGGTCGCTCTGGAGGCTTTCTCCGAAGGGCTTGGGCGACCCGTCGTCCTCCTCCTCCTCCTTTTCCTTCTCCTCCTCCTCCTCCTTCTCAAGAGCCATTTGGCTCCGTCGCCCCTGGAGCGGGGCCGCGGGGTCGCGCCGAGCCTCCGCGAGGCGTTCGTGGGACCGTGCGCCATAAGCTGTCGGGCGGCAGCTGGTGGCAGCGCGGTGCCGATTCGGCGCCAACTGTTCGGAAGTCGAGTTCCAAAGGTAGTTGGAGGCCTCCCGAGATCCTTCGTAATGGGGCGCAGCGCCTCTCGTCGGCCGCGGTCCGCCGGACGCAAGAGGGTCTCGTTCGAACGGCCCTGGTCCCGATGTTCGTCCTGCCGTCGCTGTGAACGGGACGAACTTCTGGAGGCCCAGAACTGGCGTTTCCCTGTGGCTCCATGATTACGCAATTCCGCGCGCCCTCCCAGCCTCGACCTCGTGGTGGTGCTGGCGGGCGCGGGCGCGGCGGGCCTGGAGGAGCTCCCGACGCTGGCGGGGCCGCGGCCGACCAGCTGCAGCGCCCAGGTGCCCCTGCGCGCGACGGCTCGGTGCCCCCCGAGCTGGCCGCGGCGCTGAGGGTCGTCCAGGCTGCGGCGGCCAGGGCGAAGGCCAAGGAGCCGACGCTGGACGACGCGCTCCGCAAGGCCGCTGGCGAGTGCAAGGGCCTCCACGGGCGGCACCAGGCCGCGGTGGAACAGGTCCTGCGCTGCCGCTCAGGCCTGAGCACGGCCAGGGCCCGTGAGCGGGAATTCGCCTTGCTCCTGGCCGAGGCCGAGGCCGCCAAGCAGAATGCAGCTGCGGCGCCGGGCGCCTCCGCGGCCGCTGCTGGAGCCGCTGCCGGGGCGACGGTCACCGAGGAGTCGGCCGAGCTCTTCCAGCTGCGCTGGGACGACTCCATCTTCTCTGCTCTTCCAGGAACGCGGCAGCTTGGCCCGCCTCCGCACGAGCTTCTCGCGGCGAAGGACCTCCTCCAGTCCCGCTCGGGGGAGGTCCGCGAGACGCTGGCCGCCGCGCAGCGCCTCGCCGCCACCAGCCGCCAGCGCTTGGCCAAGAAGCGCAAGGGCGGCAACGGCGACGTTCAGGACCCTGCGCATGCGGCAGCAGCACCTGCCGCAGTAACACCTGCGGCAGCAGCACCTGCAGCAGCTCACGCAGCAGCAGCGACAGACGCAGCGGCAGCAGCAGCAGCGGCGGCCCCTGACGACGGCGTCGCCGCGAAGAACGCTGGAGGTGTTCCAGGAGCCCCTGCAGAGAAGACAGGCGACCCCGTGCTGGCCGCGGCGGCCGCCAAGCTGAGCCAGGCCAAATTCAAGGCCGCCGAGCAAGCGAAGGTGGCATCTGCAGCTCGCAGTGCCCCAGGCTCGGCTGGCCCAGGTGCAGCGTCAGAGGCCGCCCGTGCGGCGTCGCCCGACGCCGAGAGCAGCAGCCTGTGGCGCCGGGCGCCGCCAGCGGCTTCAGGGGTAGCCGCTGGTGCGGCTGGCAGTGGCGCTCTGCTGTGCAGTTTTTGCATTTCTTACAGTCATGATGTTTTTCCTTGGTGTTGAGGGGTCAGCTCCCGCAGTCGCAGCCGACTGCGCTCGCGGATCGTCGGCAACAGGACGAAGGCTCATCATCGACGGGGCGCATGTGGATCGTGGCGAGCCCCTCCGCCGCAGCCGCACCTTCTCTTTCGCGAACATCAATGCGATGGGACCGCAGGCATGGGAGGAGACACGCGTTCGCTCCCCGGCCAAGTTGGAGGAGTGGACGCGCAAGGCGAAGCGCGCTGGATGGCGGGCCCACGCCAGCCCCGCCCGTGCCTCGACCGGAGGGGGCGCCGAGGGTGGTGAGTGGCTGCTCGCCCGTCAGCATCTCCACGTGCACCGCTTGGGGGGCCGCCGCGCCAACGCCCGGGCAGCCGCGCGCCCCGGCCTCCCCCGACCTGGACGGCTTCCAGGGCAGCGCGTTGCGCGTGCAGGGGTGCGCTGCGGTGGCCATCATCTTCCATGCCTTCTCGTCGCTTGGCTGGGCGGGAGATATCCAGCGCAGGTGTGCTCGCCCCGGCGCGCTGCTCGAGGCCCTGCAGCTGCCCTAGCTGGCGCTCGGCGATTTCACCGCGGGGCCGTCGGTGTTGCAGCAGCGTGGTTTCGCGGGGCGGGTCGGCGGGCACGTGCTACTGTAATGCGACCTTCACCTTCGCCGCAGGTGCCGCGGGGTCGCGCATTGACTGCGGCTTGTGCTCGACTTCCTGCCTACCGTGCGTCGCGGGGTTTCGAGACGTGCAGGCCGCCCCCTAGAAGACCGGCTGCGGCCTCGCGGTGGAGCCCCCTGGCAGCGGCCAGCAGCTGACGACGCGCCACCTGGCGGTGCCCAGACCTCTGCCCGCGGGCGCGCGACCCCGCCCGCCGCTGCCGACTTCCACCGAGCGGTGCGAGGCGCGCTCCCGCAGAGACGCCACCCGTTTCAAGCGGGGCGATGTCTTGAAGGAGGCCTTCGGCAGCCAGTCGGAGGGACCCAGAGCTGACATGTCCATCGATGATACGGACGGCGAAGGGCTCTCCTCCAGCGACGTCGACGACTCGTGGGCTGATGAAGTTGAGAACTTGCTGCTGCCACCGCCACAGGGCGATGCGCCCCCCCCCCCCCCCACCAGGGAGAGAGGCGCGCCCTCTGGCAGGCCGCCCCAGCCCAGCACCCGCAGCCTCAGCACGTTCGCCGAGTCGCCGCCCCAGCCAGCCCCATCGCGACGCTAAATCCGTTGCTGGCGAAGGCGAAGGTGGTCGACCCCAGGCCCATGCCGTTCCCAAGCGTCATTCCATGGACGTGGACATCGTCGACCCCTTCGCGTGCCTAGACGAGGTCGAATCCCGCCGTACGCGGGCATCGAGGAGCCCCCGAGGTCGAGCAGGTCATGGAGGGGGCCTCAGACCGCGGGCCAGTGGGCGGCGGCCGAGTGGCGGCTGAGGAGGTTGGCGGAAATCAGTCTCAGAGTATCCCTGGCTCTGGGGCGCGGCAATCGCAGCCCCTCACGCCCCGCCCCGTCGCCTCCATCTCGCCCGCGTGCGACGACAGCTCAGATCACGGAGGTGCGTTCCCTACTGGATATCGGGGGCAGCCTTGTGAGCGAGAGGCGAAAGCCAGAGCCGCAGCCTCTACTCCGTGGGGGGCGGTCAGCGAGTCGGCCGCCTACCGCGTCGGTGCCGAGGTCATTGGGCTTCTCAGCGACGCCTGCGCCAGATGGGTTTGTCAGGTCGAAGCGGCCGCACGTCGTCGTGCTCGAGAACCCCGGCATGGCCGAGGGCTTTCTCGAGGCGACGGTGTTCGCCTGGTCGAGTGCCAGGTGTCAGCGGTCCCGCGCGCCATCCACGCGGAGGTCACCGACGCCGACTACGCTGTGGGCTGGTGGGCGCCATTGCACGCTGTCCTCTGGAAATTCGCCCCCCCCCCCCCAAGGGGGTCGTCGGCAACGCCCCTGTTGCGCGCACAGCTGCCGCCGAACGCCGCCGCGCTGCCGCCGAGTGTCGCCGTCTGGCTCAGGATGCTCCTGCCCATGCCCGGCGCTCTCTCGCCGCTGGCCGAGGTGGGGTCGACGTGCTCGCGGAGCAGCTGCTGAGGAGCCGCCCGTCACATGGGCCTGCCTCCGTCGGGACTTTCGCGCTCTGCCGCGCTTGCCCATCGAAACCGTCCAGCATGTGCCGGAGGTCGCGCTGGGCAGCTTGCGCCGCGCGCGTGGTCGTGCCGTCGGCGCCTCCATGCGCAGCTTCAAGGATTGGATTGTCACGCCGCAGGGCCCGTCGGTGCTCTTCAAGTCCTCGAAGAGGCAGCCCGACCTGGCCGACGACATGTGCGACCCACAAGGATGTCAGTCCCTCGCCCACCCCCGCGACCTGGTGGATCACAAGGCCAGGGTCTGGCACGAGCTGTGGGCACCCTACCAGGAGGACAGGCACGCGGTCGACACATTCTGGAACGAGCTGCGCGATATGCTAGGCCTCGAGGGCTTTCCCGCGCTGGATCTTTCCCAGTTGAGAGCCGCCTGGAAACGCATGCGCCCTCGCGCAGACAGGGATGTCGACCAGCAACTTCCTACTGATGTCGAGCGGCTACCTGATTGTGCCCTCAGCGAGCTCCTCGGCCTGCACTCAGGGCGCGAGCAGGTGGGCTGTTGGCCATGGCAGCTGCTTTTGGTATCGGGGCAGTTGCTGGCCGAGAAAGCTGGGGGCGAGCGCGCGGTCGGCATCCTCTGCAAGATCACCCGCATCCGGGGCCAAGCTCGCGAGCCCGTTAGCCAGTGCTGAAGTCGGGACACGGCGCCGCCCTGGGACGCCGCGGTCCGTGGGAACGCCGTCGTCTTCGAGGCCGTTGCCCGCGCCACTGACGAGGAGGCCGACGTCAAGATGGGCATGGCGCACGCGCGCGTCATGCTCGACATCAAGGCCTTCTGCGACTCCATGGATAGGACCAAGCTCGGACGTGCCGCCCTGCGGCTGGGCTTTTTTCCCCACCATGCTTGCCCTCGAGCTCCAGCTGTGCCTTGCCCGCGGGTCTTGATCCGCGACGGAGCAGCGTCGCTGGCGTTCCAACCTGCCAGGTCCATCGTGCAAGGGCTGCGCTCAGGGGCGCGGCTTGCTCGGTGCCTAACTTACTTCATATGGGATAAGATCACGCAGTCCAGGCCAGCTGGGGTTCTGGCCCCCCGCATCTGGATCGATGACCTGTCCGAGGCGGCGGCCGACACGGAGCCAGGCGTGGAGAGCGCGCTAGTTGCCGCGGTGGCCGAGGCTTGCGACATGGTCGTCTCCGACGGCCTTCGAATCTCGCCGAAGAGCGCGGTCATCGCCAACCGCCGTGGGCTAGCCAAGCGCATCATGGACTCGCCGCGCGCCAAGGGTCACGTAATGGACTCGAGCCCGAGCCGCGCCTCGGGGTCGACCTCGCCGCGGGAACGGACGCGCGGCGACCTACTCGGACGAGCAGGACGGAGAAGGCTGTCAAGTCGCACCTTCGTGTTCGAAATTTTGCAAGGGCCAGCAAGCAGCATCGCACCTGCTCGCGAATTGAGATGGCCTCCCCCGAGGCAGCCGCCAGCCACGGGCACCAGATCCATGGCACCCCAGCCTCATGGCGACGCAAGGCCCGCCAGCGCCGCGGTGCCGTCAGCGCTGCAGCTGGCAAGGGGAAGTGCTTCACTGCCGTCCTGCTGATCTTGCTTGGAGCTCAAGGTCCTGCGCGGCGCCTCCCGCGACAGCAGCTCGAGCTCTGGTTCCAAGCATGGCGGCGCGATGCTGACTTCAGGCGGCGAGTCCAGCAATCGTGGATCCCGGTTCATTGTCGACTGTGGGGCGTTCTACCTGCTCAGCGCCATCGTTACGTTCGTGGTCCGATCTCAGCGCTGATAGCCTTGCTGATGGAGTGCGACTGTGACCCCGTGGGCCCGCGCGGGTTGGTTCGCCACTTCCTTGGAGGCGGATGGGAGCGTTGGACAGTCCCCGACGTGGAGGCGCTCGTCGACGGTTCCACTCAGCAGTTGCTCGACGCATTCGACGCCTCGGTGCAGGAGCAGCTATGGAGCGACGCCGCCCTTCACTGGTGCGGGGAAGGCCTGCAGCATGAGGCCGACGTAGCCCCCCATCGCGCCATGGTGAAGATGCTCGAGGGATCCCAGGAGCACCAGCACCTCGCGCCCCTCATGGTGTCTATCGGCACACAGGACTCGGTCGACTACATGCGCCCCAGGCGCGGGTACGACGTGGAGACGCCGCTGCACAGGATGTGGACATGCAAGGCCAACCAGGGGTCCAAAGCCTACGACCTCAGTGCCCACCTCGTTGCCAGAGCTTATGCTGAAGCGGACGCGTGCCCCTGGTTCTGGCTTCGAGGCGCCCTGCATGTGAGCTGGACCCGCGTCCCAGCTCCTCCCGACGAGCCCTGCTGGACCCACATCGGCGATGCGCTAGGTCACCAGGGACTCGGTACCGGCACCTCGTACGACCCCCATCGCGCTGTTCGGCGACGCCGGCGGCGGGCCCGACTCGATGCATATTCAGCTTCGACGCGTGGGCGTCGCTGCGTGCAGTGTTCGTTGTGAGGCCACCGGGGTCGACGGCGCCATCTTCGGCCCTCTCGCAGGCGCGCGACAGACGGTTCATCGTGGCGAGCTTCAGGCCTTGGTGTTAGCAGCCCGCCACTCGCGCGGGCCCACGGTTTTCTTCACCGACAATTTGGCGGTCTGCGAGGGGTTGTGGCAGCGGTGCGGCGATCATCTTGCAGCCGCAGGGCAGGAAGCCGACCTGTGGCTCGCTGTACGCAGCGTGTTTCAGCACCGCCCTAGGAGCGACTTCACCGTCGAGCA